GCGTGACATATAGTGAAGACTAACCTTAGGGAACGATGTCTCAGATTCCCATCCAAAAGTTGACACCAAGGATAGTTGCTCAAAATTGTCAACTGTGGTGACTATGTGCCTGTGAAGCTCTTGTGAAGCATGGAGAATGTGTTTGTGCAGCCCAGCCTTAACAGCAGATTGGGCATAACAATCATTGTTAACAGAAGCTGATCTTAGATCAGTTAATAGTCCAGGTGACATTCCAGGATATTACAGTAGAGGTGCATTGTTATGAGAAAATCGAGCACGGAGTCCCCAAGAAATTCTAGACGCTGCACAACATGAAATATTTTCAGAAAGAAAATATAGAGCGGTGTTACATTCAGAAATACAAATGGCTCATCAGCAATTCAACACAATCACCAAAACCAAACAAAATAAGAATCATAAATTTCTGTTACTGCTAAAAAAAATAAAGAAACAAAATTCAAAGTTGGCTTTAAAATGCATGTCTATGTGCACACTTACCTGGAGAACACATGATTCATGTCTTACAAGTTCTAGTAACTATCAATTCCATCCATTTTTATAGAAAAAAAAATGTTATTGCAGGTAGCAAGCCATATGACAAAGCAAGAAACTTGTTTAGTTGATGCCTTCCATAGTGCTTCTATTTCACAAATGCGAGATCAGGAGTGCAACATAAATCTGATATTGAAGAGTTATTACCCAAAGAAGGATTAGAAAGATGGTGCACAATTAGTGCCAGCACAAAACACTAAATTCTTGAAGATACCGTGTGGTATATCTTTGCCGGCACAGATAAGATTAATTTTGAAAACATTGTCAATGTTACCTGATAACATCTTGGAATCTCAGGCAACATGTAAGAACCATGAGTTAGAGCTTCCACTAGCAAAGAAGCATCACGGAAGGAGTACTTCAATAAGGATTCCAAATATCTGATGTTAACAAGCATCTCTGGTTTCACTGGGAAGTGCCTGTCATTTGGTATGTTGACAAAATCAACCTTTATACCAAGCCAATCCATGAATGATAGAGCTCCTATTTCACCTCCAGCGCTTAGGAATGCACCAATTAGTGCCTCAACAACATCAGCTATTGTCTTACTTTTCATCTTTCTTTTCCCTCTTTTATAGAGTTTTGTAGCACTAGAAAGCAGCTCTTCATCCAATGCATAATCCCCTGAATTATCACCAGGAATGATCCATGTTTTAGGATCAAAAGGTTCATTGCGAATAAAGCCCTATAAAATAGCCAAAAAAAGGAATAGAGAAAGTCAGATTAGCATAAATTATACAAATAATATAACAGAAATACTGACATAACAAATGTTTTGAAAAGAACAACCAAAGAACCATGAGGAAAAATTGCAGAAGCTTGATAGTTATGATGCCCCTCTTAAATACATATTTTAGAAAGAAAAAAGACAATGTTTGCAGAGATCAATCATGCTTTGTTAACTAAAGATATCTTGTATCCCACATCAACTGATTGGGGCCACCTAAAGTTGGTTTCTATACTTAAGGAGTTGCTCAGCTTATTACCATTGATTTTGGGTGGGATACTCCACCATAGTATTATACATGGGCCTTGGGTGGTCAATAGGCCAAGTCTCCTACGAATTTTATTTTTCAGATGTGCATGGTTGTTTGTTTGTTACCCCCATGTGCAAACCCGATCCCGCGTGAGGGAGGATGTAAAGAAATTTTGCATCCCATATCAAATGATTATAACCACCCAAAGTTGGTTTATGTACTTACGAAATCACTACACTCATTTTCAATTGGTTTTCGGTTGAATGCTCTAACATTAACAACTCTCTTTAGCACAAAGACAAATTTCATCTGACTGACTCAAAATAAAAACTGTCTAACTTGACTGACTCAAAATAAAAACTGTCTAACTTGACAAGGGCTCATTGGTAGTTCGTTATGCTTTCAAAATTTAAATTGCACCGCTGCAAATGCAGAACTAATGTCACATGTCATTATTTTTTACACTACGAAGCCCACCAATTCAAGAATATAATTTACAATAATGAGTGATATTCAAATTGAACTGGTTTAGTCAACAATGAATGAACTTTGGAAACACACAACAAACAATGATAAAAATAGATTATATTGTCATCATCGTAATTCGCTAACAATACACTCAACCACCATTAAGATATGATCAGTCAAATTGTGTGTATAATTGAACAAAAGTAGGGAATCATATCCAGCATAAAAATCATGCCACCCTATCCCTACTTGCCAATCATCTAGAAACTTCTTTATCCTTCCAGATGGGTTAATACACTAATTTTTAACAAAAACAAAAAGGTAAATAACCATAGGGCCAATGAATATGCTACCAATAGGAGAAACCACTTAAATGCAAGTCAACATTCTAAAGGCTATGCTCTAACCATGCAAATAAAGGAAACAGATCTTGCACTTCAAAAATTCTTTCATACAAGCTACTATCCCCTACTCTGCCCAATCCACAAGGATTCAAAAAAGACGTATAAAAAGATAATGAACAAGTAAATTTTACCGGAAGTTTACGATCACATCCTAGCTTACATAGCGCAGCATTGGAAATAATTCTTTCTTTTTTGGCACTAAGAAGGCCCTCATGATGATTTTGGTAGGTCTTGAATAGCTGTTGACTAGCGGCATATTTTAGAAAGGAGTCCCCAAGGGTCTCCAGCGACTCCAAATGAAATTGTTCTTGGCATTTCTTGGTGGTAATTGCTTCCAAAACCTAACAAAGATGTTTCATTAGCACAAGGTCAAAACATTTGTCCCAAAACACTTTTTTCAAACAATAAGAACATCAACTTAATTAAACAATTTACAGGTAGTAAATAACCAAGCGTAGATAACAAAAGTATGATTAAAGCTGCTTTGGAAATGAAACATTAAAGCTATCGTGCAGCACAATCTGATTATACCAATTATAAATCCATGCTTGCCCAATGGCACCGTTCAAAAAGCTCAAGAAAAACACCAGATGTGTCCCTCAAAATATTAGCACTGCACAGTGCATACACCATGTAACATCACAAACCCATTATTTACATTACACTGCCTATGAGCACCAAATAAAGAGCATCAATCCACTTTCCCACAAAAAATGTAGGCTACAAGAATGAGATTAGCTTATGGAAAAATCATCGTCAAACCACAATAACAGAGGGAACTGTATCACACATACATGATTTATTTTGCAGTGAATCCTCTAATTATTGGATTCATATTAATGTGTAACAAACCACCCTATGATTCCTACGACTGATAAAATAATAATCCTGCATATAGAGAAGTACGAACAACCATCTAAATAAAATGTTATTCAATGAAGGATAACCTGAAGTTTCAACAAGAAAGCACTTCAAAACGCTAGTTTCTATACAAGCATTTTAAAAAATGCATTACGCCATTCACAATTAAAAGAAAACCAAGTATTGTGTAATGAGATAAGAAGGCAAAGGTACCTTGACAGTTGGAATAACAACATTTTGCGTGCAGTGATTCGCGTGCATCTTTTTCAAGTTGACCGCAATAAGTAAAGACTCGATCCGATGCATGATAGATGGAACAAATGAGAATGAATAAGACGTAGAGATGGATATGGGAGACATGATTATGAAACAAAGTTCTGGAGGCAATTCGACTGATGCATTACTTCGCTCTGCAAAAAAAAAAAAAAACAAGAATATCAATAGGGTCAGTCATAACAAGTCACACACCGATAATCTAGAAGTACAAAAATAAAGAAGTCCATCGGATTAAATCATGAAGCATATGGGCAAGCACATGACGTCTCTTAATATTAATATGAGTAATATCATGACAAAAGTCACTACTAAAAAAGAATGTAGAATCTTGCTTCACAATTAACAAAATTAGATGTCTTTACAATTCTTTCTGGTTTTGCTAAAAAATCGCCTGAAATATTAATAATTTTTCCACATTACCTCCAATAAAATCACCCATCAAGCAACGCATACATGTTCTCCACAAGCTTAATCAGTGATAATTTACATACTAATTGCATCCACAAAGAGTCCATGTTGGGTGATATGCATGCATTTTCATTAAAAAAGTGAGTACTGCTCTTTTTTTTCAAGGGGAAAAAAAAAAGAAAAGAACGCAACACAAAGACATGGAAAGAAATGGGAAATGACAACAGCTCGAAAATGACACCGTGTTTATAATGAAAAGATTCCAACGAATAACATTATTCACGGCAAGCTAATCAAAATTTTTTTTTTTTTTTGGGGGGGGGGGGGTGTTGAGCCACAAGAGTAATCGACCATGCTTAATAAAATGCAGGTCCTCTAATAATTTTTTCACAGGATGAAGAAAGAGGCTATTGGACAATTTAATTGCCTCATCCTTCTAGTCCATCAACAATTGAAGCGGGAGAGGAAAAAAAAAGCATCAGGATAGTTTATAACTACACATACTATATTTTAACTTCCGCCTACAAACGAGCACAAACAAATTTCGATATTGGAGGTCCATTTTGGCTGGCTTTGCCTATCTTTGGTGACCATTGCTTGTACAATGATACAAGCTTCAAATACAACCTTAAGAGCACGTGCTTTACTGCAGCCACTTTGCACAAATAATGTCAAAGCATAAGCATGGTTACCACAATTCACTAAACTTTTAACGACCCACGATCTGGGTACATTGATTTCAAAAGAGGTAGGTTCGCGATCCAAATCACCAAAATGGACGACCCCAAATTGTAATACTAACTCTAAATCAATTCGCTTTAAAACATGTAGCACAAATATAAAATTCATATTAATTAACTACACGTATATATATTTATAATTATAAATTACTTTAGATAATAGAAGATCAAGCACAATTATAAGGTAAATGAGAATTAATTTAGTGTTTATGAATGTTTTATAATATATAATGTTGTCTACTAGTGAAAACGATTTATATAAGAGTTTTAAAACGAATTATGACCCACAATCCTGTACCAGCTAAACCACTACCCTCATCGTACCGCATACCTAAGAAAGTGTCATACCATGTACCCGTACATATACCACATACCAAAGTGACCCACGATCTAGGTAACATTGAGCATAAGTCACCGTTCCAACAATTTTGCAAGAGGGAATCGTTGGACCAATATTGGGTGGTTGTCATATTTATTTGCTGACTTCAAAATGACCAGATATGATAGTATATGTGGGAAAATACCCATAAAATCCAAAAATAAACAGGAAAATAAAATTCAAAGAGGCAGTAAGCAATCACTCCTACCTTTCTCCTTCTGTTGTCTACATCTTTGAACATAATTTTGCACTGTGAAAATATGGGTCCCCTTAAGAAATAGCTCACTTTCAAAATGCAATATAATTCCATGCCTGTAGTTAGCAGTATGGTTTTGATTAATTCTATCTGACGAATTCTTCAGAATAATTATAATATTCAAAAGTCAACTAAGAGCATGTGGATGGTGAAATAAGCAGATTTTACGAACCGTTTTTCATAGTATCTCTTGTAAGAAACAACTTCTCCATCCCTCAGATGCAGTAGTGAATTCCCATCCAAATTTGGGAGAGTGCCAGCAATGCAATACACATGACCATTATGAGGTGTGCACACTAAAGAATTCTTCAACATGCAGCGGCATACCACACCATTCTTTGTGTGCACCCAACCACCATAACCCTTGGAAGAACAATAACTATGATGGTCCCAGAGATTATCACTTGAAAACATCACAGAACTAACACATTTCCAATCAATTATAGATGAAGTTCGAGGCGAGCTGGTACATGGAACCAGGAGATAGTCAAACACAGCAGCATCATTCCTGTGATGGCATGCATCTAAGACCTCCTTCAGCTTGTTCAAATTATGATCAAGAATAACTCTGAAAAGCGTGATTTGAAACTTTTGACACAGAAGAACCTGGCAGCATAAAGTACTATGTTTAGCAAAAAGCCAACCTACATTTTTTCAGTTATTAAATCATTCCATGTCCTAAGAACAGATGAAATAGAAATGATGCATTACCTGTTCAGAAGTAAGACTAACAACTCCAACATATTTTATGTTCACAGTTAACTTGCCCCTATCAACTTTTAAATCAAAAGCCAAGCTGTCATCTTCAAAATTAAGCTTAGTCCTCACAGCAAGGACAATATCCTGAAGTGGAATATTATACTCGACGTCCCTCCGTAGCTCAATTAAGTAGGAATGATACGACTTCACAGAATCATCCTCAAATTGGCTAACCAATTCTGGAGGGAAGTAGTTCATTTGTTCATCGACATTAGGTTCATAACCTGTACATTAAATGTCACAAATTCAGATGCAGGATAAGAAATTCCCTATAATTGAAGGATCACAAAATAAAATAAGTGAAGACCAACTGAGATCTTCTTGGAACGGTGAAACAGGAAAAAATTTCCGAAAAAAGTACCCAGTTCTTGTGTATCAGCTTCTTCCATAATATCGGGCACAAGATTGTCTGTTAAGGCACCAATCTGATGAAGCTGCTTGCACGCTTCTAAGCATGCAAGTTGCTTCAGTGTTTTGACATTGCCACGAACTTCAACAGTGGTGATTGGACAGCTTTTAGGAAATTGTAAGGTGCAGATTTCCAACTCGTTGTTAATCTTACACATAGGGGAGGGTTTAAAATACCTACAAATAACAATAGTGAAACATTTGGAAGTCATAAACTAAACTAAACTAAACATGATTTGCAAACATAAAGATAAACAACAAAGAAACTAGACGGCACTTTGAACGATGAAAAAATAGAGTTTTAAGAACAAACCCGTCAGAAGGTAGCCGTGAGCAATAGAAGTAAATCAAAGCCACACTAGAACTTAGAGTCACAATCGCTCCTGTGGTTTCAACCATATAAAAAGCCTCGTTGTACATTTCGCTATCAGGAGGTGCACAAGGAAGGGAAGCATGTTGTAAAGACTCCTTCCTCATTATGTCTCCACTAGCCAGATAGTTTTTCACTCGAGTAAGTGTTGAAGTGTCCCCACTATAAATCCAACCCCCAAAAAATAAATAAATAAATAAATAAGAACCAGTTAAAACTTAAAACTTCTACCTATTCTGTATCAATTTTCACTGTAATGTGGCAAATGAAGTAGCAGTAATTTTATGCACTAATATTTTGTTCTTAGCCACCTAACAACTCATGTGCACCTGCAACTCAAAAGGAGGCCAAAAACAAAAGAATACTCAGCTACTCACATTATGCCTTTCTAATATAATGATATGCTGAAATGGAATATACCTTTTCACCATTAATAAAAAATCTGAGTTCTGCATTCTAGCACGACCTCTAGACTGAATAAAACTACAAACAGTCGCCGAGGGATCAAATCTGACAACAAGGATGCAACTCTGAACATCTAAACCCTCCTCGAGAATTGAGGTTGCAACAATGATGTTCACCTGCACATATGTTATACCAACATACAATCATCTCACTCATTAACTATACACTGCCCTGGTTGAGATCTTTTATATAAAAGCGTATATAGAACACCCACCCTGCCCTTGCGGAATTCTTCAACAATTTTGTTTTGTTCTTTCCTACTCTGTGTCTGCAGCCCAGAGTGATTCCCTGCCATGTATTCTGTCTTCCAACCACTTAATTTTGGGAGCAACTCACTCAAAAATTTTTGAAGAACGACCGCTGTTATCACCCTTTCAACAAAAATTATGCATCTCAAATCTTTGAAATCCCTGCATAATATTACATATAAATATGTCAACATAATTACCAATGACTAATAAAAAATTTTGACCTAAAATAGCTATTAGTCTATGAAATATTAATAAATAAAATTTGGATATCAACCAAATCAATATGCCATTAATCTCTATAATTAAGGGTGCCAACAAGCAATGTTTTATTGAAAATTGATATCAAAGAGACAATCCTTAGAGTCCATTTTTCACCTTGAACTTCAAATTTTCCATCTTGAACTTAGACAAGGCATGAGGCGCAAAAGAAGTTATTATCACTCTATCATGTCCAACTAGTGCTAATATAGTAGTAACTTAAGAGAACACAGACTGTGGACAATCCTTAGAGTTCATTTTAATCTTGAACTCAACAAGGCATGAGATGCATAAGAGATTAGTATAACTCTATCATGTCTGTCTACTGCTAAGATAGTAACTTCGGAGAACACAGAGGCTGTGAAAGGAAGAGACAGAGGAGGAGATCTGGTATCAAACATCCAACGAATATTTCAATAACCAGTTATCAAGCTTGATTATTTTATAACAAACCTTGAGACTGTTTACATGAAGGATATTATTTTTGAAGCCTAATAAAATGTGGCCATTGTCCTAATAAATGAATTCAAGGAGCTGTTAATATTCATTACCCATCATAGAAAACAATAGATCTCTAGCAAAAGAATAAACCAAAATCTTCCATGTTATACCTGAGACCCGGCACAGCAGGAATGAAAACAATTTTACTTTTGCAAAACCATATAGACCTTACATGAAATGATGATAAAAATAAATAAAATCATACCCCCCCCCCCCCCCCAAGGAGGCAACTAATAGGGTCTTGGTACTTTCTGACTTCAACATCACTATCATAGAAAAATAGTTAATTCCAAGAAAAGATCCCACCATGGCTGTTACCAGAAAATATAATTAAAAATAAAAGCAACAGTAAATCTAAAAATAAAAGACCAATACTTGAGATTTTTATCTGCACAATATCAAACAAACAGCGGCTCGGTTAAATTTAGTAGTCTACCAGCATTAGTTCCCAGCTGGTGTGACCCAGACAAACATCTTGGGATTATAATATACTACTGGGCAGGAGTATATGCCTAATTACAGGAAATTTTGTTGCAGTTCCATTTAATTCAAGACATGAAGGTTTGCAGCCATCTTAAAAAGAAAAAATTTAATACTCATCACCAGCTATAAACACAAGAAAACTTGAATGTGAAACCAACCTGTATCCAAGAAGAGATTCTACGAGACAGATGACTTTTGAAGTTAGATACCCAGCAACCAAGTCAGAATTTCTGTCATTACCAATGGACCAATGTGGACCTACAGGTATAGAGAAATAGAAAAATAAAAAAAAGGAAAAAGGAAAAAGGAAATAGAGAAAAAAATATGAACAAGTAGAATGAGAAAAAAAAATGTGACACTCTGACGGGAAAAACCTGATGGTATGTAAGTGGAGAAAGCACCAAGCACATCACAACAGAAATCTCTTACAATCTTCTCACCACATACATCCAATTTCCCCCATTGAAAGATGTCAATTTCTTCACACAACAAGGACTCTGCAGCCTAGTTCAAACCACAATTTTAGTGGAGTCTAATATAACATTTTCACCAAAATATTGAGCAATCCAAAATAATTACCTTTAAAGCCAACCAAACACCCAGCTCACTCAAACAAAACATGAAGGTTGATGAAAGCCTCAATAATCTTTTCTTTGTTAATTCTGCTGTAGACTCTGAAATATTTGATTTTCTGAGATAGGTTTCATGCTGAAGGGAAATACATATCAGGTAAGTACTGGTTCAAAGAACAATACAAGACAAAGAAACAAAATATGCAAAAAACACAAACAAGACACATCTCAGATTTAAATTTTTCACCGACAACACAAATACAAAGAAAGTATGGACATCAATTTCCATAGAAAGCAATAGCCAATCTCAGCATAGTTAAGATTGAATTTGTGTTTATATTTATTTATCATTAGGGGTAGTCCTGTATTTTCTCATTGTAGGGTTCTACATATATTGTCCCTGACTCCCTGGTACCTAATTTTCATTATGATGAGATATTAGAGAAGCAGACTTCTTTCTCTCTGACTCTTCTACGTATGGAATATTAGGGGTAGTCTGTCTTAAGGGCACCTTACATCAAAGTTTATAGTTTTTCTTTCACTTCTACCTTGAAGTTTCATGCTTTTTCTGATGTTGATCGAGTAAATGATACCAATAATAATAAATCAATCACTTGTTTTTGTGTCTTTCTAGGTGATTCTCTTATTGTTTGGAAAATCAAGAAACAGAATGTTGAATTTTGCTCTACCGTTGAGGCTAAATATCATGCTATGATTACTATTACATTAAAAATAGTTTGGTTGAGATGGTTTCTTGCCGATCAACGTATTTTTTTTTCTACTCTTACCTCCATGTATTGTGACAAAAAGAGAGTCGTTCAGATTGCATACAACTCTATTATCCATAAGCGGACCAATTATATCGAAATTGACTGTTATTTTTTTTTCTACTCCTAACTCCATGTATTTTGACAACAAAAGTGTCATTTAGATTGCATAAAATCTGTTATCCATGGACGAACCAAGTATATCACAATTGATTGTTATTTGTTGTGCCACTGTCTTTAGCTTGATACTATTTCCCAGCCTATTACTTCGTTTACCATGGAATTGGCTCACTTCTTTACAAAATCTCACACCACGCCATGTTTTCGTTTATTTCTTAACAAACTCTCGATGCTTCCTACCATCAAATTTCGAGTTCGAGGGTGTGTTAAAATCATATTTACATTTATCATTAGGAGTAGTGGAGTTCTTTCTCATATATATTTTATTTCTTTTACCTAGTTTTCGTTATGATGGAACGTTAGAGAAGCAAATTTCTTTTCTCTCTTACCCTTCTATGTTTGTCCTTTTTCTTGGCAAGTTTGATATATGTGTTCAAGCACAACCTCATTATATATAAAGGGTTGCCTGCGCATATCTTGCCTCATTGTTACGGATGAACATATTACATTAAAGCACATGCTTCATGTTTTTCCCTTGCTACTTTAAACCATGTCCTTTGTCCTTTTCCTAGCAACATCTTGAATCTCAACCACAAAACTTCACACTCAAGTATTACATGCAAACCCAAATAAGGGAGGATAGAGAGCATGAGAGAAGTACCACAAAATTCAAATAAACATATTGGTTTGACTGAATATGCATACCTTTCTTCTCAAACTCTCCAATCCATTTTCCCAGCATTCAAATAACGGAGCAGGAATATCAATGTGTTTATAAATCTTCAGCTTAGGAGTCGAATATGAAATATACTCGGCCAACACCAAGCCATTGACACATGTGTACACCTTCACCCAAAAAAAAAACATCTCAGTCACAATTATAATTAGACTATTCCAACGAAATAGTAACTAAAATTTTCATTTTCAACTAAATTTTCATTTTCAAGTACACGACGTACTAAGCTAAAAAAATAAAAATAAGAGACGAACTAGATTATGAAAATATAAAATCTCATAACCAGGTGACGACTATAGTAAGCACAAAGGGAATACTTTATGAACCAATGTTAAATAAATTGTGAACACCTATGATCCAACATTTAACAATAACCACAAAAAATTTAAAAAAGGGCCCCCCCCTCAATAACTTAATTCAATCTCAAAAAGTCCCAATTTCTAACCCTATTTAATCAACAAATAGTGTACGCTATTTTATGTGATATCATAGCCCAACTTTGTAGCCCCAGCTCCAATCCCTAGTTGTGTAAAACCAAGGTCAATCTAAAAACCCCAAATTTGAAAGCATCATTACGTCTAAAGTGTCTAAATCAATCAAATACCAAAACATAATAGAAGATTTAAAAGACAGATAAATGAAGGTAGACATCATTGAGGGATAAAAAAACATAGAACAACGGTTCACAAAGAATAACTCCGATCTTACCTGGCCGACGACACGACTAGAGTTCCAACTCGACTCAAAGCTTATAAGACTCAAACTGACTATTCACAAAGAATGACTCAAATCGAGCTCGAAAATCTTTCTCCAAATCTCTCTTCTCTTCGAACTCTATAGAACATTAGTTCTTGCTCATGAACTAAAGAAGCACAAAGAAAAAACGCCCGAATCTTTTTGCCAAGAAGAATCACTAAAATCAAGCAATAGAAGTCTTATTCTTTTTGTTGATCGACATTATTACCACACAAATCGAAAAGCAAACCCAAAAAGAACCAATGAAATCTAGCTTAGACTCCTCTCATATTACAACTTAGGCCCCTATCTCTTTCAAATTGCAAAAAAACTTCCTTTTTTATAGAATCACCAGGCAAGTTTCTACAATTTTGGAAAAAACAAATCACAAAAGGTGTCTCATCCATGTTGGTCACATGTCACCAACGTTTATCACATCTGTCGATTGCCCATCCCCAACATGCACCATAAAAAGTTATAATACCACAATGAAACACCCATTTAGAGCATGTCCATGTCCCATACAGTTCAATTTTGAACACACTAGCAAAAATAAAGTGTTCCTCCTTACCTGTTAGAAATAAAATAGTATTTTAACTAAAACAGCATAATTGTTGAGCAAATGAAAAGTTCACAAAAGGAATGTGACACTAGATGTTAATACAAGGACATGGATTCAAGAATAGTATTGCAAATGAAAGGTTCCCTTTTTTTCCTTCCTTCCTTCGTGTTTTCACTTCTGCAAAAAAGCCGAAAGGAAAATTTCAATTGTAACTTTTATATGTCCTTCCTCTGGCCCTACTCAACAATGACGAGAACTCTTCCATTCACAGTCTTCGCCTTCTCCATTCTTTAATTCATCCCACTTTTCCCAGATATTACACAATTGTGGGACTTGCCATATAAAAATATTGAAAACCGGCAAATCAAATACCTGTCCATGGCTATATAACAAATAAATAAATCATTTTTCAGAAATTATTTATTGCCAAAAGGGTAAAGGGCTCAAGTCAATTGTTGTTTATAACGAAGACATAGAGCACCTTCCAACATTCAGTAAATGCGAAAACACCGAAAAGCTCAAAAGTCATCTTCTCTATGTAACGGAGAATCATCCAGTCCCAGCCACACACAGACTTCAGACTAAGGGCTGCAACACAAAACTCGAATGGACACAACCACTTTGCATAAGTTAAACGCCGATTTTATGCAGTTGGTGGTGGAACTCGAACATAAGATATATGGGTGTACACTTTACCCATTATTCGACCACCAAACCAGCACGTGTGGGTTAGATTATCATCTCATTTAAGGACAAGATTTATGTACGAACAAAATAAAGTATTATGCAAGTTGAGTCTAATATCCACATGATTAAAAACACAAGAAAAAACAAAACAAAAATACATCACATTTTCCTTTTATAGTTCAATCCTACAGAATGAAAAATAGAAAAGCACAATAAACACTTTGAATGATGTTAGGGTTGCAATCACACAAATGCAGAGAACATTAAGTAAACAACCTTAGAATTCATAAGATTCTCAAGTTCACTAATCTGTTTCCAGTAGTTCGATCCTGAGCTTGAACCTATTTCACAAGAAACTGATTAGCAAATTCACCTACTTCATGGCAAACTCAACAAATTTAAGAATGGTTAGTAGTGAACTTATCAAAAATACATAAGCAAGCTTGCATACCTTTTGCTTTTATGGGGGAAGCAGTCATCCCGAATATTCTAGGAAGCTGAGAATGATTTGAAGCTAACTGACGGTGATAGAATTCCTGCAAACACATTAGAATTGATATTGGGAAGTCACATATAAAGCGCTTGTAGGGAAGAAAAGGACATAAAAAATACATGCAGTAACAAATACTAACAACGTAACAAAGAACATTTACTGCATGGACATAGTTTCACAATTTTATTCCTCTCATCGACAAGGATAGCAACTTTGAGCAGCCTAACACACTCTGTTAGGCCAGGACTAAAGCAAAGGTTGTTAAGTTTGATGACAACATGACTACAATACAGCAAATAAATTTCGAACAGTATCTCTCCAGTGGCTTTATTAGTTAGCAAGTCAAGTAGAGCCTTAAGGGTAAAAAGATATTATAGGGAAGGTCAACTAATTATAAGTGATCAGATATATGGTAAAAGGCAAGTTAAGGTTTATAAGAAAGGGGAAGGATCCAAGCTACTTCTATATAGTGTTCAGATATACCAGCAAAAAATTTAGCAGATGAAGTCTTCTTACTCCAGTTCCTCTATGTTTATGGCGTCTTATTACATTTCATATATGCTTACTATTAATCTATTAATTGAATCTTCAAAAGTTAGTCATTCTTGAGACTTAAGGCTCCACTAAGGCTATGCAGATGTTCAAAGTAAGTTACAACTCAGACCGAGTCAAGTTGAATGAGAATTACATGTCACCACTCACCAGCTGCCAAGACAATATCAGTACGTCAGACCACAGCTTAGTAATGTTTGATTGACTCACGGGACATCTCTATCAAATCCCCCCCCCGGCACAAATTTCTCATTCATTGTAATTTCCAGCATAACAAACCTTGCTAATTTACTCTTCCATATCAAAACTTACTTCTTCAAAGCTAATTTTGGATTCCGGAGAAAATCAAACCTTGAATCAAGCCTTGGCTAATGATGTGCTTCTTTGTTCAACCATAAAAGAAACTTACTTTTTTACTTTTGACAATCTATATAATATGGCAGCTAACAACATGAATCACATAAGTTATAAAGCACAACAGCAGTTGAGATTCATTCAAAAAAGTTGATCCGAGGGTATAAAATTCATTTCAAATTTTTTTTCCCGCCCATAAATGTCAACTTCTCTACACAACCCCCAATGACAAACAACTTAATCAACACACTCCCTAATATCAAACAATCACATCAATTCACACCTATCCCTTTTCATTTTAATTTTAAGAAGCGTGATTAAAAAAAATTAAATTAGTATTTAAAATATACAATCTCTCAAACACAAGCCGAGACAAACAAACACCACACGCATGCACTTCATGTTGATGGACAATTACGAAAGACGATAATAAGCTCATCCCGTTATTTTGAGGACGAGGCAAAAAAGCAATGCAACTGATAAATACGATTCACAATGTCAAAATTCAAATCTTAAGATAATAAAATTTTACTTTGCATTATAGTCAACTAAGACACATCAAAATAGGCAAAAGCTTAAAAAGACTAGTCTCAACCATTTGGGTTTAGAAATTTTGTCACCAGTTGATGGGACATTCCCTTCTATGAAGGAGATGTTTGTGGGAATTTTCAAGATAAAGTAGCTTTTCCTTGAAAGGTGGGTTGCAAATCAAGCATTGGCTTGTGGGCGAATTTAAGCAAATCAAAAGATGTTTACAAGGTGCATCTTTGAGTCTTTGCTTTAGTGAACGATCCTAAGAGTTGGGTTGGCGACCATCCATAAGTTTCATAGTTGTTTAGTCTTTGGGTTAACGTTCATTCAGTTCCTTTGATATTAGCTTGAGTAGTGTACTGGTGTTGTTTGGTGTATACTACCTCTTCACCCCACACTAATTAATTCTTGTTTTGATTCTCATATCTCACCAATTGAATCTAGATAACAAAATTTGATTATTCTGTGCTGAATAAGTTGACAAATAACAACAAAGACAATTGGTACATCAATGCAAGCATAGTTTATTCATACTCAAAAATTTGGTAACTTCAATTTTTTTTTTCAAGACAAAGTATCCTGACAGTCTTGAAGAGTTTCACCTATTGTTTTATACTTTATTAATTTCCAAGAGGCATCAACTTATTTTTCAGTTCCGTACCATCAAATTGACAACAAATATCGTATAAAAATTTCTAAATTCTAGTTTTTCCTGGGCAAATATTGAACTTAGATCATGGAATAGAATGAACATATGGTTCTAGATTCTGTGATTTTAATATATAATAATATTTTGTATTCTAAATTGATTCACGTGCGACGCACGTATGCATCAACTAATATATATAAAAATATAGATAACTGATGTTATTTTAGACAAATAAAAACGTATCATACCTTCTTATCTTGTGTGAACCAAACACCAGATTTGGAATTAACCTAATTCCATCTTCATAAAACCAACCCCTTTTTCTCTTTTGAGAGGTTGGGTTGGATGGAAATTATTAATCCAATCCAATTTTATCCAACGAACAAAATGGCTCCTTGGTGTCCAAAGAAAGTATTGCATTGTGCTCTAATGCAGTTTAAGATCTTTCATGTAATTTTAGTACAACTATATCTCCATACACAAACCTTTTAGAACATTAAAATTCGAGGAACAGCAAAACTTTCATCATTGAGCTTACAAAAAAGTTAGAAGACCTTAAAGCATCACATAGTAAAGGAGAACTCAACATAGAGATAACTCACCATCATAATGCAGGCATATGGGTGTCTACCTCTCGCATTATGGCATTCATCGAATATCAGGACCTTTATCATGTCAAGTTTCAAAAAGCTATGCCTCAAAGCATCAAGTAAGATAGCAGGCGTCATTACCAACACCTGAATCATCCACCCAAAAGTTGGCGCATGTTGATTACTCCACAAGTCCATAATAAACAAATTTGCCACAAAGAGACATAATTCCTAAAGCATAACACTTGCTATAGCCAATATTGTTACAAAACTACAAAATAAAACACAGCATGCAAAAATTTCTTTTAGCATTTGTGTTGTGCCAACCACCAACAATTTTTTACTATGTTTAAAATTAATAACATCGGATCAGGCAAATACTAATGACATCAAATCATATAGAAACTCATTTTTTTTTGTGTACATAGCAGTTAATTTAACTTAAAGTGTCATGCCAAAAACCAAGCTGTTTTTTTATTTCCACATAATCTATTGAAATGGAATTATCATTTGATTATTAAAACTGCTTAAATTGAGTTGGAATTACATTAATCAACACGGAAACACACAAAATCAAATTATTTTCCCTTTCTCTTTCCTGAAACTATTACTGAATGATTTACAACAAAGAATTGGACAAGGTGAAATGAAAAGTGTGCTCACCTCATACTCATCCCGTTGCTGCTTCCATGTAGCAGCATCCCAGTAGTCAACTCCCATTTCTCCCCAGTACTTGCCCACTTTCAAATCAGTGTTCATTTTCACAGCTTCAGCTTGCTAACAAGTATTAATCACAAACGGTGATTACATAAAATTTGTCATAAGTATTAGTCTAAAGGGCCAAAAGTTTGAATGAAAAGATCAAAACCACCGCAACATGTCAAAATTATAAAAATGCTTCAAAATTAAAGACGAATAAGGCATAAAGCAAGTATCATCGATGATTATTTAACATACTTGAGTGACCAAAACAACAGTCGGGACCAAGAAAACTGCAATATATGGCAATGGCTTGCGGAGAAGGTACGCATAGCTACGCAGAAGCATAATAGCAATCAGAGTCTTCCCGGAACCGGTCTCCAAGAACACAATTGTGTTCTGCTTAATTGCTTTCTCCAAAGCTTCCAACTGATAGCTATTAAAGCATGGGCCACCCGAAATAGCAAAAGCAGTTTCAAAAACAAACAGATATTCATAAAACAGTAATGACAACAGCACAGTCACACACCCACAAACAGAGAATACAGAAGAAAGAGAGTACCTTCTTGCAAAAGGGAGAGGATCTCCAGTCACTTTTTGGATTCCACTGAATTCGATTTGAACTCGCTCCATTGGCTTTTTCTTTCTCTCTCTCTGTTTCTCTCTTAAAAACTGAATTTGATTTAAAAAGAGAATGATCCACCGAAAATTTCCATTAGGTAAAGATATAAAGGGACTGGGTCTATTAAGTACTAACAATCAAAAAGTAAATGCAAATTTGTTTTAGAGAGAGAAAAGCAGAGACTTCATCCCTCAACGACGATGATCCACAAAACATTTCCATTGATTCTTTTCTCTCTTTCATCCCCAAAAAAAAAAACACATGAACTGGGTTTCAATTGATATTCAAATTCAAAAAAGGAAAATGTATAAATGTTCGACAGAGAAAGATAGAGAGCTTCGTGTCAAAGCCAGAAATGCATTGAATCTCCTCTCCGCATATAGCGATAGCAAACAAAAAACTTTAAATGAAACAATTTAGAACAAAAACCTCTGATGAAAACAGCAATTTTTTTCACAGAGCCGAAGAAGAACAACAACAACAAAATTCTAAGATGGCCAATGGTGCATTGAATACATTTCCATATACAGTAACAGAACAGGAAGCTTTAAACCCAATCAGACAGACCCAATTTCAGACAGAGCAAAGAACGAAATTCAAAAAATTCAAAAGAAAATGAGAGGAGGTGAGTTAAAAATCGACAGCTTACTTGCAAATTCTCAGTAGTAGTAAAAGTGCCCACAACCCATAAATCCTCCATCCATCCATCTATATACATGTATTTAACTTCGGGAGCAAGGAACTTCCCAGTAATGCTTCCAAGAAAGTGAGAATAGCAATCACAAGAAAGGAGACAGACTCATTGTCAGCGATTTCAAAAGGACGATTCTTTTTGTTTTCCTGTGGTTGGGCCCACGTATATATATATACCATAAGTTTCGAATTTGCATTTACCTATGTGCTATGTATTTAATGTAGGAGTCGCGTCGCATTCATTTCGAGCACGTCCGTTCTGTTGCCTTCACTCAAGCGTCAAGACAGTATACGGCTTGTAACAATTGTACAATTCTGTGAAATTTGTTTGAGTTAATTATACTATAGATGTCTAAAATATTAATTTTATTTTATTTTAATTTTTAATATTTTAATTATATTATTTTGATATTTGAAATATTGAATATGTCTCTATATGATTCCTCAAACAGATAACGTTTAGATTGCTAACAATTTTTTATCATAAACTTGTCATATAATACCTAAATATAGACAAAAAAAATAATTTTAATAACTTTTAAACACAATTTGGATAGTTTTTGAAAAAAAAATGTGTAATATGGATAGTTTTTGACTAAAATTTGAATAACTCGTAATCAAAACTGTATAATTTAGATTGATATTTAACAAAATTTGAGTAAAAATTTGGTCAAGAGTTATCCAAGTTATTTTTTTGTTTATATTTGAGTATTACGTGACAAATTTTTGATAAAAAAATTGTTAACAATCTGGACGTTGTCTGTTTCAAAGGACCATATAGAAACATATTTAATACTTCAGGGTCTAAAATAATACAATTAAAACATTAGTAACTAAAATGAGATAAACTCTATACTTCTAGGACATCCAATATAATTAATCCAAATTTTTTTTCCCAATAAGTGAATTTCATTTCAATAACCAAAATGAAATTTTTGTATTTAGGAAAAATGATCGTCCTACCACATTGGCCAAAAGTTATTTTTGGGGTATATTTGATTTAGGTATTAGGGAGTGGATTAGATTAATTTATTTCAATAATAATATCAATAAGATTTTTTATTTTTTGAAAATTATTTTAAATTTTTTATTAATTTGTTTTTGTTGTTTGATATGAAATTTTTTTGTATCGTTTTTGTATTAAGTTTTGTTATCATACACCTTTGTTTGATCTATAAATATTATATGGAGATTTTTCTTCTTATCTCTATACTTTTCTATGAGTGTCCTCAATAAATATATAATCTTTATAGTTGATCTACCTAGCATAAACTCAAACTAATTTTCTGACCCTGTAATCTCAACTCTTAGGCGAATTTCAATGACATTTTCTCATAATTTCATTATATGACTCATCAATTTTATCCCACAATAATTATTACAATTTTGAATATCTCATTTATTTTTATATATAGGTACTAAAATACACTTTCTCCATTTATCAGGCATTTTCCTAATAACAATAATTCTATTAAATAATTTTGTTAGTCATGACACCCCCTCATTCTCTAAGCATTTCCAAACCTCAATTGGATTGGAATTTTATCTGGTCCTAAACTCTTGCCTAATTTCATTTCTTCAATACAAACTCTACCTCCGAATTCTTTATTCTACAAAATAACGTTTTTTCAATCCTACTATTTTCTATTTCTTATAATTTTCCTATGTGATTTTCATTTAATAGTTTTTCAAAATAGTGTTTCCATCGATCATTTATTTTCTCATCTTTAACTAAAAACTTTTGAGTTATCGCCCTTAATGCACTTAACTTGGTTAAAAGCTCTTGTCTTTTTTTTTTTTTTTCTAATTTTAGTTAGTTTGTAAATGCTTTTTTCTCCTTTTTACTATCTAGTTTTTATACAACTCGTCGCAAACTTTTAACTTAACGTCTCTAACTATTTTTTTAACCTTCTTTTTAGCTAATTTATACCTTTAGAAGTTTTCGCTATTTTTATCATTTTGTCATCTCTTAAAAGATTCTTTCTTTGTTTTAATTACATCTTGTACTCACTTCCAAGTTTCTTTTCTCACAAGTCCTCTACCTTTTGACTCCCCAATAACTTCTTTCGAAATTTTCTCAACGTGTCCCGTCATCCTACTCCACATAACGTTAGTCTCATCCTCTAAGTTCTATAAGACCTTCTTAAACATTCTACTCCTAAATAAGACTAGTTTTTCATCTTTTAGATTCTACTATTTTGTTCTTGTTTTTCTAATGTTTCTCCTCACACTATGTTGCCTTTTTAATATATAAATATAGGATTGTTAGCCTATGTTGAGATGTTAAATTCTCTCCCAATATAACCTTACAATATTTATATGCTAATCGGTCCGTTCTTCTACTTAAGAAATAATCTACTTGGCTTTTGTTTGATCCACTCTTAAAGGTTATTAGATGTTCTTCTTGTTTTTTAAACAAAGTGTTTGTCACTATAAGGTCATATGTCATTGCAAACTCCAAAATACTCTCTCCGCCTTTATTTCAATCACAATATTCATAACCTCCATGAACCCTCTCATATTGTGTCCTATCTTTTTTTACATATCCATTGAAATCTCCACCTATGATTATGTTTTCTTCTATAAGTATATTTTGAGCTAATTCATCCATTTGCTCTCAAAATTGCTTTATAATATGTTCCTCTAGCCCTATTTGGGGTGCATAAAGGTTAATCACATTAATTATATTCTCTCCGACTATAATTTTGATAGATATAACTATTATCTCTTTTCTTGTAATTATTACTATGCTATTTTTAGGTCTATATCTACAACTATTTCTATTCTATTTATTCGTCTATTCCTTCGATATAATAAATCTTAAATCTTGTATTTTCTATCTTACTTTCTTTCTCACCTACCCACTTAATTTTTTGTAAATATATTATACTAATTTTTCTCCTTCCAAAATATCTGCTAGTTTCATTGTTTTTACCAATGAGGATGCCTACGTTCTACGTTGCTGTTCGATAGCTTATTTGAAAATTCTAAGTAATAGTAAAAGTGCCCACAACCTCATAAGTCAAATCCTCCACCCATTCATCCATCCTTGGGGAGCAAGGAACTTCGCAGGTAAAGTGCCCAAGAAAGTGAGAAAAGCAACCAATACAAAGGAAACCAACTCTTTTGTCAGTGATTTGAAAGGTACGATCATTTTTCTTTCCATGTGGTTGGGCCCACATACATACTATAAGTCTTGAATTTGCATTTACCTATGTGCTATGTATTTAATCTAGGAATTGCATTCATTTCGATGCAGAATCTAGTGTGAATTTTTTTAAGAATATTGACGTTGTTTTTTTTTTTAAGGAGAGGATTATCTTGTGAAATTTTTTTCCTAGCAAGTGAGTTTTGTTTCAATAACCGAAATAAAATTTTTGCGTTTGGGAAAAATGATTGTTCACCCACATTGGCCAAAAGTTATTTTTGGGGTATATTTGGTTTAGGTATTAAAGAGTGGATTAAATTAATTTATTTCAATAATAATATCAAGTGTAGCTTGATACTAATGGACTTTTGGTCTAATGGTACTATTTATTTTGTGAAGGTTTTTTCTTCTTGAGGTCAAAGGTTCAAATTCCCCTCCCCCCCAAAAAAAAAGTGTAGCATGATCTAATTCGAGGCTTAAAATGACACATATCAATAAGATTTTTTATTTTTTGAAAATTATTTTAAATTTTAAATTTTTTATTAATTTATTTTTGTTGTTTGATATGAAAATTTCTTATGACGTTTTTGTTTCAAGTTTTGTTAGCATATATTTTTTGATTAATGGTATGACTAGTTGGCTTGATCTTTCTTATACATGGTCAATTTTATATGGGTTTTGATTAATTTTAATTTTAAAAAGCTTGATTGATTTTTTAAATGAGGTTTATGTTTTTAAATTACATAGAAAATTACAATATTTTTAAACTTAAGGTTATCCACTATGTTATGTTATCTTGTCATTGATATCCCTATTAAATTATTTTTATACAAATTATTAAGTATTCTTAATCTATAAGTTTGGCTGATTTTTTTAGTTTAGGATAAAAATGTGTGTGTGTGAGAGAGAGAGAGAGATGGTTAATTGATGTAACATTTTGAATCTTAGTTTAGTATTTTTCTCTTAGTTTAAGTATTTATGGAGCTTTTCTTTGGACTTATTTTTATGGGTTAAAATTGTAGGTCTGCATCAGAGTAGAGACCAATAAAATTTAGGGCCTTTCATATGGATGGGGCCTAAAACCCCTAGTTCAATTTGTATGCCCTAGGGTCGGCCTTGGATAAGATAATGCTAAATTTATGAGGTTATAGTGACATGATATTAATTTTT